TCTCCTTCCTTTCATTCGGGTGTGCTCGTCGATTTTCATGGCCAAATTCAACCTGTACCTAAAGAGGATTTTCATGTAAAGGAAAGTAATTTGAGCATGAAACTGCTCAATGATTCCAGCTTTCGAAACGATAGTTACACTTTTTCTATTAAAATACAAAGACAAACTACAGTAGAGTTTTAATTTTAATCGCCTGACAGGCCTTATTTGCTCAGGTTAGCAGGTGGTTAAAAAAACATCTGAATTTTCCTTAAAATCTTATTTTTAGATTTATCATTTCTCGAACAATATGGTTTTGGCGCGCAATGAAAGAGTCTTGCGTCGTGACTCGCTGGCACTAAAATGGCTCTCTGAAAAAGATATGTTGATTAAACTGGCTGATTTGCTTTGATATCACAGATTATAACTTGTGACGTATACACAATCTTGGCATATACACATTAAACAGTGAAATACCAAATAGCTGATGTCGATAAAGACAGCAGGTACCGGTAAATGGTTTAACCGCACGTTTTTGCAAAAGTGAGCCGTAGTTTTATGTTTTTAAATGATTTATGAGATAATTCTTCAAGAAAAAAAATTATTTTTTGAAAACCAGCTCCTGTTTTTCAGCCGTTGCACGAAGTGATGAAGGAAAGTTTTGTTTCACTGTGATATTCACAATGTCATCGACAGAAAATCTATTTGAAGACGCTGGGAAGTTCACGAGCAGTTTAGAGTCAGGCTATAAATCCGAAGGAACAGATAACGGTCTGCCTCTTCCGAAACACAAAAGCAAAAAAAGCAGCAAGAAAAAAGAGTCTGGCAAAAATTTGGGCTTGGAAAACAAAGGTTTCGAAGCCGATACTGAACAAACAGACACAAGTACCAAACATAAGATTCAAGTTCATCGGGCATCAAGCGAAAACAAAGCACGAAAGTTGACAACGCAAGATAAACGGCGACATAGCGATACGGGAAGAATATCAGTGCCGGATGATACCACAAAACCTTCTCATGAAAGCGCTGCCGCACAGAAAGAAAGAGGCTCCACTCGGCGGCGTTCAAGCGCTGATGAGGATTTAAGACGAAGAGCTTGTTTCAACTCGATGCGGCTTCGCCGAGTTTCAAGTTCCAGCCAGCTGCCTTCTTATGAAGTCGATACTAGTGTGGAAGACGAGATGTTTTACCAAAACCTACCAATGACTAGTGTTGAAAATGGACATCAGGAAATGACTAATCAAGAAAGACCTAAAGACGAAGTGTTCCACCAAAATCCACCGATGGATAGAATTGAAAACGAGTATCAAGAAGTACCTTATCGAGAAAGGCCTAGATTAAATAAGGCTGACAGGGTATTTTCCATGGACAGTTTATGTAACTCTGTCGAGCAAGAAAATAGAAAGCTGGACGAATATTCCATGCGCCTATCGTGCGCTCTGGACGAGAGAGCCAAACTGGAACAAGAGTTGAGCATTTTACGCAGCAATGCTTCGGTTGCACGCACCATGTCAACAGAGGAAAGTGAAAGGTGGAAAATATCGCCCGGCATTCACTATCGAAATGAAAAGTACAACTCGGAGAGAAGGATAAGTTCCAGAGGTGATTTAGACATGCAATTATCAATTGAACAGCTTAGAGGTATGCAACTTGAACAAAGTCGAAAACTACCTAATGTTCCCCCTAGAGTAGCTTCTCAAAGAGACGAAGAAATCCACGAGCGAATAGAGTCAGTAAATGAGACGAAAGTCGAAAGACTACTTCAGCGAAAAGTGTCCGAAAAACTTCCTCAGCAGGCAGAAGGGAAAACAAAAAGCCAGAATTTTCGCCTCAGCGATCCCGAAAAGACGAGAAGAGAACGTAAATTGGCCGATTTAGCCGCAGATCTGTGGAAAAAGCTGTCACAAGGGGAAAAATTTTCTGAAAATGAAGTTGAGCGTAAAGTAGCAACACCTGATGTACCAATGAGAAACGAAAATGATAAAGACTTCAAGACTCGTGGTGATTCGTTTTACAACATGGGGTCAGCAAGTGAAACAGATTCCGAGGAATACTACATTCCTGAATTAGCTAAAGAAGCCATTCCTTCGACCTCAGGCATAAACTCGTTAAAGAAAAAGAACGCTAAAGGAAACTCTTTAATGCGTTCAGAATCAGCTTCAAGTCTGACGCGCACTGACGCGTTTAGAAGAAAGCAGAGGCGCCCCATGCGACAGAAACGCGTTTCAACTGCATCCGAGCCGCGGAGCGGGGAAGCAAAACCTCTCAAGTCAATGGAATTCAAAGATCCGCCAACGAATAAACACCGTCAAGAAAAACCGGAAAAAATGGAAGGAATTCGTAGCACTGAAGCTGTGAGTCAGAATCACAGTGCAAGGTTCGACTACATGCTGCCGCCTGGAAAACGAGGACAAGGGCGAAATCCATTTTCACAAAATTTGCAGTCTAGTCCAAACGAACCTCCTTCAGGAGAACAGCCTTTATCGGTAAAATTGCGTTATTATCAGGAATTAGAACAAAAGAGGTCTCAAGAAGAGAATGCGTTTGATTTATCTGACGCATTTATGGCTGCAGAGGACATAGAGGCAGAAATGAAATATCGAGAAAAAGCTGCTGGCGAAGCCGCCATTTTAAGGCGGGAAGCGTCGCGGTTGCTTTGGCAAGCGATGAATTTGGAACGCATTTGCGATCCGAATGCCCGAGTACGCCACATTTTTACGCCTTATTGACATGTCAGGCTCGGTACGTTGTTAATGAATGTTTGGAGCTCTCTTTTATGGGAAGAAAATACATTTTTCACATCAGATGCTTGCGGTTCCTTTTTTTTCTTTTAAATAAATTTCTTAAATAATATGTTTTTCCGGATTTCGTTGTCTTTTTTTTCCTTTCTTGTCTTTGTCTTTTGTCTGGCGTCCTCACATTTTTAAACTTTTATAGCCTTTAAATTTCCAAAGGGATCCCGACCGAAATTTTTACTCCGCAGTTACTAGATGTGGAGAAGGAGCAAAGGAGAAGCCGTTAACTCAACTCGCTTTTCAGCTCTAAACACGGACTTGAAGTCCTGCGGACCAATATCACTATCTGAGCAAATGTTCACCTACTCCTCCCCTAATCCAATATCCAATAACAGTCAACTGATAATAAGTTAGGGTTGATGTAAAGCTAGGAGAGGGGTATTTGCACAGTTTCTCTGATACTGACATTGATTCAGCCCTGCAAATGCGCAATAGATACTTAACCCACTTGTTGTGCTCCATAATGTCGTTTTACTTAAACAATTTCGAATTGAGAATTGCGCTAACGTAAGTGGACGTCACCGATTGAATACAGCCGAAAGGTACGTATGAGAATAGCTTATTTCCGCAGAAAGCCTCTTCTGTACACATTAATCAATAATTTTTTCACCACCAACCCCCCTCCCCCCCCCCCGAACCCCAAAATTGGAAATAAAAAATAGAAAAAAAAACTGAAATATTGGTCAGCGGAAGCGCGATGAGCTAATAAGATCACGTGCCTTCAATGAGACAGGCAAGAGGGAGTCACTACATCACGGGCGACGAGCGGGGATAGAAAAAACGACCCAAATACGAGTGGTCAGCGGTGAAACAACTTTCATACTTCATATATAGACAGATCATTTGTAGTATCAGGAAACAATCGTGTTGTAAAGCCGAAGTGTAAACAGTTTACTTCGCTAAATAAAATGTTAAGCAATTCAAAAGTGTTGATTGTACATATATCTTTTACTGCTTTAATAAACAATGAAGGCATCGTTGGCATCCGAAAGGTACCAAGAAGAATTAAATGTACGTTTTGTAGTTGCAGAAAACAATCGTGTTGTAAAGCCGAAATGTTACCAAGTTACACTTCGCTACTTAAAAAGTTAAGCAATTTTCCTCAAGCTTTAACTGGAACAATACTTTTAATGCTCTATTAACCAACGGAGGCATCGGGAAAGGCATTGGTGACACCGGAAAGGCATCAAGAAGAATGATATTCACGTTATGTAACTTGTTGTGTGACGAAAAAAACGTATCTTGACTTGTTCAAAGCATTAATCACAGTTGGCTTCCTTTTCACTTGAATTTTGTATCCACAGCCTAAGATGAGAAATTTAAAATTTCTATCAGCTGAAGTTCTTTTACTGCATATTATATCTATTCAATCGCCCCCAATTCACTTGGAAAAAAGGCAAGTAGGAAAACACTGAGCTTCGAGAAACAGCCATGTTAAGGCTAATGTATTTACCATTCCTTAAATATTTACAATCAAGACCACTCGTTTAGGAGACCTTTTCTCAAAAGATCCACACGCGCAAATAATGCTGTTTTCCGTTCGAAATGTTTTTCTTCCTATTCAATTGAACAACTGACTTAGCGTTTAAGCCGAGAAAAAAAATCACAAAGTTTGAATTCTGGGATGTTATCCACTGTTGGCTCCATCAAGTTACGATTCTGCACCATTGACGCTCGTGAAAATCTATCTTTCCCTCGAAATATCCAAAACAATAATTGCCTTCAACAGAAAAGCCATTGAGATGTTCTTTCAAAAAGTCGATCTCTAAATCTCTTAACATTGTTGGCTTTTGGTCTTCATCCATGGCAAAATCTTCCAGGAAAAGCAAACTACAGTGCGAAAACCAAGTTCCTGCCAAATTTGATTGACATTTTTGACAACCGGAAATCATGATACTTTTTTTTCGTCACGCACGTCACGCAGCTAGCTACAAACCATATATATAATTATTCTTGGTGCCTTTCCAAATGCCACTGACTCCCTCTCCGAAGCCTCCATTGTTTATTAAAGCAGTAAAAGATATGAGTTCAATCAACACTTTTGAAAAATTGCTTAAACTGTGAAGTAAACTGTTAACATTTCGGCTTTACAACACGATTGTCTCTGGAACAACAAGTTATATGTTTCTATATGAAGTATAAAAGCTGTTTGACCGCTGACCGCTCATATTTGGGTCGTTTTTTCTAACCCCGCTCGTCGCCCGTGATGTAGTAACTCCCCAGGCAAGATGGCGGCTTCGTCGTCCCTCTGGCTGTGGAGTGTTTTTATTTCGTTTTTAGGATGTTTATGTGCTGATTCTTCCTTACCAGTTCCCGTTTTTATATGGTCTAAAGATAGGTAAGGAATCGAAAGAACATTATTTACCGATTGCACCGTATCCATTCAATTTTCAAAAGGGGCTTTTCGATCGAATTTCTATAATTTGGAAAATTGAAACTCAAACTTGACAAATTTTGGCAGAATAGACATGTGTTTGGATCAAAACGAAATCGTTTGGGAAATTTGAGATGTATGCTATGACTTTTGAGTTGGATTTGATATGAGGAAACTTTACTGAGTCTTTTCATTGTCTTGTTTAAGATTGATGAGACAAAACTCAATTTAGAATGTAGATTGTATTTATGAGTGTTTTCCTGTAAATTAAATACATGATTAATTTGTGGTAAGAAATTTTAGCGAACAAGTGCATTTAGGAAATTAAAAAATATAAACAGAATCAAATTGAGAGCTCTCTGAATCAGTCTCTTGAGACAGGCAAGTTCACTTTGTAACTTTCTACATCGTTTGCAATTACATAAGTGTTGGATAAATCTTGCATCATTAAGAACCTTCTTACGGTAGCCTATATGCACGTAGAGCTATACTGGTGATGTAGGCCTTGCAACCCAACTTTTTCAAATTTGAGATTTGGTAACCATAAAAATGAGATATGGCCGCATGAATTTATGTTTTGGTTGAAAAGCTTATTAAAAGAAAAAGATTTGAAAGCTTTGTACACAAATTGTTGTCTTACTTAAACTTTACATTATTAACAGCACTGAAATAGTCAAAATGTAACAGTTTGATGCTTGACTGCAGAAGACAAGTTGTAAAATCAGCACCTTTTGCTTCTAATTAAGTTACTTATTGAGTTCTTTCCACTTGCCACAGTATTCAAAATGATGTCAGCCTAGAGTGCTTTTTTTAAAGTTGAATGGTCTCAAAGCAGTTGCAAATTATGTGTCTTTGTTATCTTGCCAACAGTGGGGTTATTAGTTCTTCACCTGTACTGGCAGGGCACACAGTAAAGCAAAGTGATTTTCAAGATAAATATCTCAAGAAACTATTCAACACCCCGCAAATCATTTGTGTCTTTCTACAGGATAGGGTAAGTGGATCATTAGGCTTTTTAACCTCTAAGATTGACTAGCATTCGATTTCTCCCTTTGTTATCCCCCTTGAGTCAAACATTATGGTCTTGAGAGTATAGGAAATGATCACCAACTGGAAATGCTCTTAATTGTTAAACTAATTATATTGTTAAACATATGTTGTTAAATTGTTAAGCGGATATATACACATACACCCATTTTCAAAAATGTTGCAATTTGAAAATATACATGAAATATAAATATCTTTTGTTTTCTCATCAGAAAGAGACTTTTTGATGAGAAAACAAAGGTGCATATATTTCATATATTTTTTACAATGTTTTTGAAAATGGGTGTAGATACAACCATATGTATGTATGTATGTATATGCATAATTCTCATACAAATAATTTCTTTATATTTTTTCAGTTGAGTATAGATGATCTTAGTCACTATGGTGATGCGTACAGCACTGGAAACCAAGGCACAGCATTTTACAACCTTAAAGTTGCCATGGAAGCTGCCAACTCATCAGCTGTCTTACCATCAGTAGATCTTTCCTCATCAAGTGGGAATAATGATGAGTTGCTTCACCTGATCAGAAAAATGGCAAGTGGTTTGGTGAAGGAGTTAAATCCAGAAGGTAAAGTTAATGGGTTGGAATGTGTCTGCCCATGTTTTAATTTATTTTCTCCCATTTCCAACCTTTTTGTCATGTGCTGCCTTACCAATGGTTAGATATAAATTGTCATGGTATAGCATTGAGTGGGTATTTGACTTATTAAATGAAAAACAAATGAAGAGGGTGTGTTTACATCTGAGCTGCAACCATTTTGGTTGCCATGGGGCATTGAAAAGTTTTGTGGGCTAAATTTGCAGCTAAGGTTGGTGATTTGATAACTTGTGTTTAGCTGTAATTTAGAAAGCTTTAACTTTTTCTTAATTGCTTTTTTTGTTGAGTTTAATTGGGTCAGATATTTTTTTAAAGCAATTAAATGTTGAAAAAAAATATTCAGGTTATGAACTAGCTGTTCCCTATTTTTCTGGCAATTTTAATTTTATTTCTGGCAGTTATGGTGGTGGGGAAATGGTAACTTGAATTTAACCTTTTTACTCTATGTGTAGTAATTCTCCTTACTGTCTGCCATACAACTCTTATTATGTCAAGTCAGAGAATTTGGTATTGGATCAACTAATAATCTCCTACTTGACATTTTCTTTCTTATCATCATTTGTCTGCTAGATATTGTATTGATATTAATTGTAAGGAAAAAATTTTGTCTTGGTCATTCATGGAAAGAAAGGATAAAGTAAGTTAGGCTTTGAACCATTCTCATTGCAAGTTAATGAACATCTATCTGTAGTCTAAGGAAAAAAATTTGTCTTGGTCATTCATGGAAAGAAGAAGGTAAAGGAAGTTGGGCTTTGAACCAATCTCCTTCTAATGTGATGGATATCTGTCTGTAGTCTTTGTCCTTGTATGGTGTGGATGATACAGTTTGCATTTAACCCTTTAACTCCCAGAAGTGATCAACTTGAAACTTCTCCCTATAACATCCTTACACTATCCAGCAAACAGGTGATGAGAATACTGAAACTTATCAGGTAGAAGTTGTTAACTTGATCTAATGCTAAATTCTCCTAACTAATTTATGAGTAAATGTGTAGCAGATAGAGGGGAGAATTAAGGATCAGATCCTGGGAGTTAAAGGGTTAAAAGGTTGATCTATTCTATTAATGAGTTCTCTGATGGTTCCTTGACCTCTTATCTCTCAAACAGAAACAGGAAAGTTTGATATTACAGAATTTTCACTGGATAAGGAAAAGACCAATGTTTTCATCTTTCATTTGATGCCAACATCTTCAAGGTTTGTCTATCTTATTTAAACTTTCCCCCTTTCCCTTGCACTTTACTGTTCCCCAGTTCATCTTCTAAGACAACTTGCTTTATGAAGATTTTATACAATTTATCAATCTGTCTAAAAAAAAAAAAAAAAAACTGCTATACCTTTGGTAACTACATCTAATAAATTGTTCACTTTTCTCTGAAGTTATTTAGTTATTTACTTAACCCTTTACACTCTAACATCAGTATGTTTATTCTCCTTACTGTTCTCCATGCATTTCTTGAAGTGCTTACAAGGAGAATTTGTCTAACAATCAAGGGCTTCTTTAGTTGGTGATCATTTCCTTTACTCAGGGGTGATATTTATGAGGAGAAATTTGATGCAAGTTGCTCCAAGGGGTCAAACATTGTTATCATCATTGCAATTTACAATTATTACACATTTGGATATATTTGGAGTACATTTGAGATTAAAAACAGTTATTGTACATCCACATGCATACATTTATCATTACATACTCACTGTAGATATCTGTTCAACATGTCATGTTTTTCTCTCATCCCCAGTGAACCTGCAAAGATGTTTATACAGAATGGTAAGTCAATACATGTATTTCTTTACATTTTCACTTTTTGGTGAAGTGTAACTGTTAGATGTTAAGTTTGAGAACTTTTCTGCCTTTTCTTTTTTCAGATAAGCTGATTGGGGCCATTAGTGGTCAGATGTCATCCACAGATTTGCCATATACATGTGTTATGACTGCAGGTTCTCCAAATGAGGTAAGACTAAATAACTAGTAATAACAGTCGACAATTTAAGTGTGTTCAATCGATCTTAGGAACGGATATTTGTCATGGGGTAACAAAATCCATTGTTGAAACAAGGTTTTGCCCACAGTTCTTATTTGTATTAACACATTTTGCTTTGATCAAGTGGTCACTCTTTAACTACAAATCTTCCCATGGTATCCAGACCAAAGCAAGTCAGCCTGTGGGACTTCAATAAGCCAACAGGATTCAAGGCTCTTGCATGAAATCGAGGCCTGTGATCAGCCAGTCCAAGAGGGTGCCTTTTAATCCACTCAAGAGAAGCAACACGAATATGCTAAAAAATTTTTTTAATGCAATGTACAAACTGGCTGCGGCTTTTTGTCTTTTGTAGTCCAAACAAATGTTTGTGGTTTGTCATGACCAAAATTTCTATAGGTAAATAAGTTTTACAAAGTTCCTAGTGAGCAGCCAAACAATAAAAATGAAGGGAATGTAATAATTTCAACTCTTTGTGGTTGTAGAGGTACATCTCAATCCAATTATTACAGGTCTTTCACAGAATTCAGTAATCTACATCCTTTAACTTTCAAGATATCGTTGTTAATTCTCCTTTATGGCTGCTATACATTTCCCTGCAAATTAGTGGCAAGAGTTTGGTGTTCAATCAGGTTGATGACTTCTACCTGATAAGTTTGAATATTCTCATCACCTGTTTTGCTAGAAAATGTTTGGAAATTATAGGGAGAAGTTACATGTTAATCACTTCTGGGAGCTAAAGGGTTAAGAGATCTTAAGATAAACCCTTATCTTATTTTCCCAAAGGGACTGACACAAGACACAGATAGAACAGAGTCAACTAGAAATGACACTGGTTTGAAACAATTATAGCGCTTTTTGATTGAGTGATGTTAAACCAAAACTAAAGTTAATAACAACTGGCAATTAGAAGAAAGGGAAATATCTTTGGTAGCTTACAAAAATTCAAAGTAAAACCTACCAGACTGCCTAAAGCATAGGAAAAGTTTAGCCAACACCTTGGGATTGGTTTTAGATTAACTTTTTTAGACCAATTATAGAGTGAAGTGAAGCAAAACCAAAGTAATTGGGGATTACTTTGAATTTGCTATTCATTTGAAAATGCTCTAAAAACACTTTTAAATTAAACAGCAACATCAATGGGTCAACATTGTAATGATTTTGTTTCTTTCAAGGTTATTCATGAAAGACTTTTATTAGAGAAACAGTGGCAACAGGAATCACACGACAGATTCCGACGAGCTTTGGAGGTGGAAGATTTGGGAAGTGTACCTGAAGCAGCCGGAAAGAATCAACTTATAAATGGGAGTCTTTTTGCTGATGCTGGGTGCATTTTATTGTACTTCAAAGGATTTGAAATATTGGTGAATCACACCACTCACAACGTTTTCAGCAATGCTACAGAGGACTTAACTTTTGATGTTCAAAAGGATTGTACTGCGGCTAATACAAGTGATAGGTATGATGCGTTATAAACTTTTGTGTCTACTAATTAACAATTGGAAGCTAGAGTTGCTCTCGGCTACGCCACGAACAACTCTTATGCATCTTTCATGCTCTCCAAACTTTCCACGTGCTTCATATCTCGATGAACGCATGCTGACGTATGAACCAATTGTTTTATTACATTTTCAACCTGATGGAAAATTTTTTTCTCAAGGGATTTGTTTGCTGACGTCATGAGCGCACACAGTAGGAATATGAAGCATGCTCGTGCAATTGAATTTGATTACACAAATTTACTAGCTATGTTATAATGGTCCTTTTAGCTAAATTTTTTTAATGATATAGTTATTTCACTGTGTAATTTGATAGTGTAGTTACAGTTACATGTACTAGTCCTAAGAGGATTGTTCAGAGGTGGTGGAGTTTTTTCTGGTGGAGTGTTTTGAAATGTGGCAGCAATCCTTTGCCCTTTGCATAGTCTTTTTTGATGCAAGTAAACTCTTTGCAGTTGTCACATAGTTCAAATGAATAAAGGGGGTAAGTTTCTTCAGAAACTGTGGTACTGCATTGGTTGGAGAGTTTAAGAAGGTAATTTGATATCATCAACTGAGTTAATAGCATAAATTGGCCACTATAAAGAGCTTTAAAGGTAACATTTCAAGTGTTAGCCCTTGGTCAGTGCTCTTTGCTCTGATGAAGGGCTAACACTCTAAATGTCAGCTTTAAAACTCTTTATGGTGGCCAATTTATGCTATTAACTCAGTTGATAATATCAAATTACCTTTGAATAGTTCAGTTTGTCTGTAAGCCATTTGCAACTTACGGTATTTTTGTGTTGCTGTGTTGCTTGTTTGTGGGCAGTTAAGTAAATTTTTTATAGTGACAAAAAGTGTTTTTCTTTCTGTTAACAGTATCACAATCATTTTCAAAGGTATTAAAGGAGTTAAAACATTAGATCTGAGGTAAGAAGAACATAAATACTCGTTCTTGAGATTTGAAATCATTCCTGGGGATGAGAGGAATCAATTCTTAACGTTTAAAGATAATTGTCTCCTATTTTCTGATGTTAAGTATCTTGAGAATTTTATTCTGAATTCAAACACTACCTCCTATTTGATGTATTACACAATTTTTATTTACAAGCACTATCTGTTTGACAGTTTAGTTGAATGAATTGTTGGGAGAATGTAATTGTTAGTCATTCCTGGTGGTGAAATGGTCAGCAGAGTGTATTTGTAGTACATTGAACCTCTAACACTTGTTTCATGTGTTTCTTTGTTCTAAGCTTTACCTTTACTACAAATGCATCTGAATGGAAATGCACTGATGCAACCTTAAAAATTGATGGTACATTAAGTGGTCAAGAAATTAAGGGAACCTTCACATTCAATTCAAGTGGAGTATTGACAGCTCCTAGTGAATATTCATACAGTTGTGTCAGTGTGACAATGAAACACAACAAGACCCTAATCAGCTTCAAAAACTTTCAGGTAAGGTTGATGACTTGTTCTAGCTTAAAAAACAGTCCAATTATGGATAGCCATGCACTGTGCAATATTACCACCTACCTAATGCAGTATGACCACTTTTTTTGCCCAATGGAATTTAAACACCATCCATGAAGGATCATTTTTTTATGAACATTGTCAATCCAGGTGCCCCCTTACTTTCATGGCATTTACATGTATTAACAGGGTTTTACTGTCATCTGTGAACTCTTTGATTCCTGAATCACTTCCAGACAGCTGATGTTCCTTTTTTTTCTCTGTTAGTTGTGAGAATTTGTTCTTTTAAGGTGACATCCTTTACGTTGTTAAAATGAATTTGACTTTTGTCACCACTTGATTTGCTTTAATTCAATGTTAACAATTGCTATAAAGAAGCCTTAAAAAAATAATCAGGTGTTGATGGGCTTTCAATTGATGTGCTTTGTTTTCATTCTGCACTGCTAAAGGAAGGTAGTCTACTATCACTTCTGGAAGAAAAATGATGATTAAACACAGAAATATAAATGGAGTTGGTTTTGTTGTTAATAAATGAATGAGCTCTCCAGTTTTCCTCATACAATGAAATCAACACTTGGTGGTGCACAAAGAGCCACCTTGTAAAAATCCAAGTTACCATGTATTTTTCCAGTAAATGTGAACCTATCTGTCAACCAAACATTTTGTTTCATTCCCTACAGGTTCAGCCAATTAATGTTAAGAACGGCACCTTTTCCTATGCCTACGATTGTACAGGGTTCTTCAACATCCCTATTCTTATGGGGCTGATCACGACGGGTGTTCTTCTGATCATTCTCTTTATCGCAGTGCTTGTCATGTTCAGCTTGACTACAATGGACCGATTTGATGATCCCAAAGGTCCTACCATCCACGTTGCAACTGGTTAGACAAAATTGAAGTCAATGACGTGGATTAGATCAGCTGATAGTTTGAAATGCAGTTTACTGTTCCCTCTTGATAATAGTGTGATGAATTATTTGACAGACTTTTGTTGGTTGAACAAAATTTTCAACTTTTAGGTACTACATTTTCAATTATTAAATTTAAATTTTTGAGGTGCTGCATTTCTAGTTGAGTCTTGTGGAAATGTTCTGGTCACTACTTAATTGTGAGTCTTGCATTGTGCAGTCAAGTTCTTTTTTTTAATAACTTGGGCAAGTGGGAAGAGAGAAATGTTTAAACAATCATGATCATGAACATGAATCATGCTAAGTGTTTGTGGCAATCTCTTGGCAGATCAGGGGGGGGGTCAGTCTAGGGGGGCAAAACACAAAACCCCCCACCCCATCAGACATGGGTTTTGTTTTTTTTAACTACAGTAGGTACTTGTCTGAAACCAAAATGACATGATCACATATTACTACTCAAGTTAATATAAGTATTTAAAATTAAGTTATCTTGAAATATTTCTCAGCTTATTTAGGCCCTAGCCTGAAAAATTAATTAAGTTGTCTTTTCCTAATCAAAGTATTGACCCCCACCCCTCCCCCCTTCCTCCTTGACAAAATTTTCTCAACCTTCCCCCCCCCAAAATATCATTATGAAGTGTCCATCAGATCATGGAATGGGAAGGTTTAAGGTTATCTTGTAACCCTACCTTAACTGCTTGGCTGTGGAAGGTCTGTGTACAAGACCCAGGCTAAGGCTGAAATATTCTTGAGTGGCTCAGAATTTTACTTTTTGTCATAATTTTGGCAAATGTTAAATAAAGTAACTGAGACATTAATGATTAATTCAATTATTCAATTAACAATGTGCAATGATGGGAGATGGTGAGAAGCTTTTTGTGGGAAAAATATTTCATCTGCCAATATTTTGCTTTCCAAATAGTGGAAATTTGTTTGTCATGTCAAATAACAGTAGCGATGAGGAATATTGTTTTAAAAGTTCCTTTATTCATGACTTTTGGTGACTGATAGTTTTTTGGTCACATTAGTAATTGGTTAAAAGGTCATTGTAAGGATCTCTGACAAAAATAATTTAATCAAAAGTTTTCAAACAGGTAGCTTGAGAAGTTTGCATTATATTTTGAATTAATGTTTTGTATTACAAAAAATGTTTTCTCCCTTGTGGTAATCTGGATTACTGAGTAATTATATTTGGATATTTCTAGCTCTTAATTTACTATCAATGACTTATCAACATAAGCATTCATGCTAAATATAAATTTAAAGTGAATGTGTTAATTCAAGTGAGCTATTTGCTTGATGAGTTTCTATCAGTTTTGTCCATGTAGTTGTGCTTTTCAAATCAGCATTGTATCTAACTTTCCTATGATGATTGCATGAAATGAGGATAAAAAATAAAAGGACTATTGCAGTGTTTTGGTTTGTTACTTACCATCTCTGTGTAGAATGAGAGAAATTTTTTTAAATTTAGTGTTGACTTTTATGTGGGATTGCACTGATTGTTCTTTTTTTCCTTTTCTCTACCCTGAAATTGGTTCTGAAAACTTGTGGCATCCTCACCATCAAATAGATGCAAAACTATACAAATTGTGACAGCTCTCTTTGGCTTCCTATAATTTTTTTTTCCAAAATAACCAGTTCTAGTTGCAGTGGTGATCAGTTTGGTTTGATCCTACATCACTTAAATGAAAAGTGCAGTAACTAGTTCCAATCTCATTTGTGATTAGGTTGGATTTGTCCAACAACACGTAAATGAAAAGCCCTCCAAAAGTTTCTTGTCATATGACCAAGCTAAGTATTGCTCAGGTGTCATTTTTTCCATTATTATTGCTCTTTCACATCGTAGAAAATTTATAGTATTTAAATTGGTTTAAGCTCCCATGGACCAATCCAGTTAACCCTTTTATACCCTAACATCAGTATGCATATTCTACATACCATTCTTTTCCTAAAGTGTTGACAAGGAGACTTTTTTTTTAACAACTAACCCTTTAACTCCCAAGAGTGATTAACATGTAACTTCTCCCTGTAATATCTAAACATTATCTTGCAAACAGGTCATGAGAATACTCAAACTTATTAGGTAGGAGTTGTTATCTCAATCTAACACCAAATTCTTGTAACTTATTTACAAGGAAATGTGTAGCAGTTAGAGGGGAAAATTGACAACCAGATCTTGGGAGTTAAAGGGTTAAGAACTTCTTTACTGAGTGATCATTTACTTTATTCTCATGACCTTAATGTGTCATTCATGGCCAACATTGCAGTCCACATTGGAAGGAGGCATCAGATGCGAGGCACTCTTCTGGGTCAAAGGGTCAACGGCACCTGGATATAACATGAGTGACCGGAAACAGATTGTTGGATAAAACCAATTTGTATTGTGTCTAACTGGGTTTCATGAGTGTCTCCTTTTATATATCCACAGCCTATTTGGGATTTAAGTGGAATTCCAGCATGGTCCAGCATTATTCTGGCTTACGTCCCAGTGACCTCTACGGCCATATTCAGGTGGATTGCAGACAAAATGTGGATTTTGACCACTGTCATTGGATACCTCCTCTTGCTGATTCAGACTACCCTACACAACCTATTTTTAAATTTTCTCCCCATTATGAATTTATCTTGTCAGTTTCCAGAACTATTTGACTATGCTCCTTTGCTTTAGGACACAGAATTCCTTAAATATATTTCTTTTTGCTCCTCCCTTGTGAGTGACTTGGACTTCATGCTTGCCTTGCAGTTGCCTCCGTTCGCCTCAAAAACGCCAAAAATTGCGCCTGTTCTGCAGGCTAGCTGTTTCTAACCTCAGTCCTTCTTCCAATAGAGTACTCTTACTAAGTTTCTTGAGATGAGTGTCGTAATGAGTGGGAATGGGGCGGATAATTAAACCGTGGGCTCATATCAGGTGGTGTCTTCATATCGAGGCTAACAATCAGTAGAGTCCAGTATCTTTATTGAGAGAAAGTATGGCGGCCATCTTAGAGGTGGGAAATTTTAACATTTCTGTATTTCTGGTAGTTTCTTTCCCTCTGAAAATTCACTATATTGTCTAGTGGGTTAGATAATTTGATGAGAGTTTCGAGATCTATTTTACGCTCGTTTTAAAGTAGTATGCTTTTTTCAGGCAGAGAGCTTCAAAGCAATTCTCTTGTCTGTTAACAACAGGTCATGACTCCATACCTGTGGATTGGCATCTGAGGTATCGGCAAAAAAATCAAACCCTAGTGAATACAGAATTCGAATTTAGTTTTTTACTATTCATTGGCCAAGAAATGCAGGTAAGTGGGAGTTCTAATGTTGCTAACAACAATTTGATTGTGTTTTGATATCTCAAAACTTTAAGGACAACTATTTGTGACCAAGTTTTGAACTGTCACATCTGTTTAATGAAATATTTTGGTTGTTGCCCAATTAGTTTTGTGCTTACTGTGCTGTAAAATCATGTCCAAAAAATATTTTGGCTGTGGGCATAGACAGCTGAGAGCCACATTATCATTAGCTTACAAAGCTTTTAATTTTTCCCTAAAAATTGTTTACTCATCAACTTAACTTTTGGTCATCTCAGTGACAAATATCTAACTACATCTCATATCTTTGGTTTGTGGCTCAGACTTGAACCTGGAAGGACATTTGGATGGTGTGTTGTTGGTTTAGGTTGCTAAAGGACAGCATGCACAAGTTTTTCAAGTTTTCCAAGATCATAAAACCATGGCTAGAAATATAATTTTACCAGGCCAAAAAGGAAAAATTAAAAAAAATTAAAATTAAAATTTAATAGCCCAGTTTGCTCAAAAGTATATGTTATTTTATGGAAATGTTTATATTCTTTTTCCTTAAGACTATAAACTTTAATTAAACAAAATACTGCAGCTTCCAACATAATCCCTGAAGAAACATAAGTTGTAAATTTTAAATGACCAGAAGTTTTTTGCTACTTGTCATGGTGACCAAAGCAATTGCAGGTTGGAGCCTGGTGATGCCTTTAGTCTTAACCTCACCAAATCTCTTAAATTTTCTACCAGTAGACACACTAAATTTCTGCAGTCACCTTTCCGTCAGGTCTGTTCATCCATTGGCCTATATTTTGTGGCCAGAGTAGGCAAAGAAGCTTGGTACTAGGGAGGCATTACAGGATTCCATTTTCTTAAATTCAGTCTATCAAACGGTATTTATGAAGCTATAAGGATCTGCAATGTGTAAATGTCTATGTCATCATAAAGTTTGGCAAAAAAATAAACACATGAGTTTGATTAATCTGTATGCAAACCTTGACATTTATTAATTGAAACAGGTTTAGCTAGACTGGAAAGCCACTGGATGATAAGAACAAATTTTGTCCTCAAAAAATAACATCTACAAGAATTTTTTTTATGGTGTGGACGTTCACATATTTTGTTTGACAATTTTTTGTACTTTTTTTTCCAACCTGAATTTTCAGTGACGTATGCAAATAGTCTCATCTCAATATTTTTAGATCAACAAATGTTTAATTTTGAAGCTTTCATTCATTTGAAACTCAAGCACATGTCGTTTTTTTAATCTAACACACTCCTAAATTTAAAACATGAAGTTAGGCACATTTCTATGTTTTCAGTTAAAATGATCGTTGTCATGTGTCATATGATATCAAAGTGGTGGATTTGAATGCAAAATGCGACCCATTTAGAAAAACCTTTTAGTTTTTTAGGTAAAGAGCTTCAAACCAAACTTAAGTCTCCCTAAACATTTCCCGTCCTAAATATAAAACTCACATTTTATCACAAAAACGTTTTCTGGAAAGTGTTCATTACATAATGGAAAGGATATAAGGGTTTACCTACAATCTACGTGCTATTTTTTCATACGCATTTGAATCTAATCCTTTTAATTTATTCATATTTCTGGAGGCGAGAAACACGTCCAGTTTACGTCTGATGTTCCTGTCAAGCTGTTAATTTCTTTCTGAAGTGAAAATTGTGGCCAGACTCAAGATGTTACTTCCCTGTACAAGCCCACATAGCAGAAAGATTTAAATTTAATCTTGGACGTGAGTTTGAACGAAGCGCTTGGTTTGACAGATATAATCGCGACGCAAGTACGCATTTCAACGACCAGCATGACTGCGCTGAAATATTTAAAGCTGAAAATTACTGTCAAAAATTTTCTCTTCGCCTTAATTAAAAGCTAAGCTAAACAGTGCGTCAATTAATATTCTAGCTCTGGTTAGCAGGTGGTATGTCAAAGAAAATTGCTGAGTTTGGCTGCCGTTAAGAACATTAAAGGAAAATCTTGTTCCCGAAACAACATGACCTCATATGAACTTGAATTTGAAACCATTCCAAATTTTATGTTACTTGTGTTGTTGAGGTTGTAAAGACACCTACACTCTTCTGGTTTGTTTGCGTTTTAGTTTTTCTTAACAATTTGTATGAGAGGTGATTGCCGATTCAAAGGCTATTTTTTTTTTCTATTTATATGTGTATGATGTCGTAATCGTTCGGACCCGCTACATTGTTTAGAGTTTTTCCGCGCCTCACCGAACAATATGTGCGGTTTTCTTTATTTTAAAAGATGGATTGGAAATTACAAACGTAGTTGAAGGACTTGCTATAGATTATTTTAAATTTTAGAAAGGCTGTGGCGTGGCTCAAAGTTGTCGAAATTAAAATTGCCAATCACACCTGTATACGTTTCAAAGTGTTTAAGTAATAAAGAGCTGTTGAACCGTATTGCTAAAGTAGAGGACGGGCGTAAACTACGTTTATTCGTTGTGTTGTTATTTCCAGCTTATGAGAGTCTTGAATCGTATTCAGTTCTCTGTACTTGAGTTCAGTCTTGACACCATCTGGAGGGGAGGTATTCCGCCTTCCAGCATAATGAGGGCTCACTATGCCATCATTTTTCACCCACAGCGAAAAGTTCGTCGGATCAATTTATCGACCGCAGGAATGAATTATCGCCCACAATTCCGTTGTAAATGGACGAAGTTATGGTGTGTTTTCCTCAGAATTCGAAATTTTAAAGCGATTTCCTTTTTGCCTGTTTCACTTGAAGCTTATCTGAAGAGTTTATTGATTGCATGTTGTTCACATTTTTATAATTCTTAATTTCTGCCAGCCTGGTTTATTTATTATTTCCATGCGAACTGGGGATTTTCTTGTTCTCAAGAAGAATGGGTTCTTACCGCCCGCTCGTAATATTTCACTGAAACTCCCAGGAATCCCAGGGTCGTGCCTAAAAGATTAAAAAGAAGTGATAAAATTGTGAAATGCTGCCAGACATAAGCGATAAAAGCAAACCACCCTTCAGCAATGCTTTTTTTTTTTTCGGAGATAGTTTGGCAGAAGGGGAGTGTCAATTCAACGTTTTAGTGACGAACGAATCTAATTTCTTATTCAGCTGAAATTTTCCCAAATACGTCAATGCTTTGTC